GCAAACAGATCCAATCACCCACGCAATCTTGTTCATAAATGACAATGATTCAACTATATGTCTATTAAAGCCTTAATCACACTGTAAAGGCTTGTTCACACCGGGACGAATATCGCGCGTGATTATTGCCGACGTTTAACGCCTCTTGACTAAACAAAGGGCGCCAATGTGAGTGTGCACACCGACGCGCAAGGCGTAAAAGCATCTTTTTTTTTTTAAACTCCTCGGGCTCGTTTTTTGGGTTTGACGCGCCACGTTAAAAACTGGCCGACCAATGGGATTGGCACTTTTGTTCACGTGCCTGGAGCTGCTGAAGTTACAGTAAAACACAACTTGCGCTCAAGCACGGTCTTGCCGAGCACACATTAATACCTAACGACGAAGAGGAAGTAAGTAGACCAAGAAGATGCATCGAGGCAAGATGAATGTAGAGCTGCTGGTCTCATTGGTGTCTGAACACGAAGGGCTTTATGACAAACGTGACAGCGACTACAAAAATCTCGATAAGAGCGAGTTGTTATGGAGAGGAATTGCAGATCAAATAGGATTCGATGTGTACCGGGGTATTTCTGTTTTTCATTAAGCACCATCTAATGTCAGGGAGTGAATTTGCACGTTCACTCGGCTCATCGCCAGCGAAAATCGCTTGGGTATAAACACAAAAGACGCGTCAAAAAACGTTGGCGATAAGTGCACAATAATCGTCCCGGTGTGTACGAGGCTTAACATTCAAATCTGCGTTCGCGCTGCCGCTGACCAGAGAGAGCATTTATATGAAACATCTTTACAAAGTCTTTTGTATCGTTATTTCTGTTACAAACATTCAGATAATCACAGAAGTACTGGAATAAAAGTTTATAGTTGGGATATAAACTGCTGTCTACAGAAGCGATCAAAATAGAATAAAGTAACCTTTTTGAAAGTGACAATGCTTCAAATAAAGATTGTATCAATTACAACGTAATGCCAGCAGGTGGAGACAAGTGACTTAAAATGAGATTCGTTCGAAAAACGTTGATTCATTCAGGAATTAAACAAGTGAAGTCTTTATGAGCAAGTCATGAAGTTATGAGCTATGAATCATTTGTTTAACTTGTTTTTATCAATTTGTTGAATATTGTATTCTATAAATAGACTGCAGCAATTTTTACTAGAAACTAACATGTTTCATACATAACATGTTATTTTGTTTAGTTGTCATATAGTTTTTTTTTCAGAATCATGGTGGGAAAATAGTGCTATCTATTTTAAAAATAAAATATTGATACAATATAGTTAATATAAATATGAAAAATAATACTTCTTTCTAAAGAAATTTGTGAACTATATTTGCTCAAGAATGTTTTTAGTTTTAGCATTTTGAGTTTGATCAATCCTCTGAGTATGAATGCATTTTTTTTTTGCATCAAATCCAATTTTTTGTTCCAGATTTTTACTCATATATATATATATATATATATATATACATATATATATATATATATTCATGCTCAGTGTTAATTTAAATAGGACAAACAAGACTTAGATAAGTAATAAACTGTATTTCTACATCAGTAAATCTACAAATATTGTCTTAAAGTCTGATGATGCAAATTGTAATTTGTGGCCCTTCGCATTTTATGTAGTTTAAATGCAGCCCGCTTGGCCTCTGAACTTGAGTACCCCATGCTCTGAACAACCGTCACTAGGGCACAAGCAGATTGAATAAAAAACAATTTATATTAATTAGCTACCAACTCAAAAAACAAATTGCCATGAAATTTTGTTGGATATTTTAGGAGACTCGTTGACCTCAACCAGTCATGAGGGTCTGCGGGGGTTCTATCTATGATATAATTTCCAGTTTTAAGATTTTTTTTTCTTTTCATTTCTGCATGTTGGTTGGACGACGTTTTCCTGGCAACACCACATATCTTGGATTTGCAAGACAAAAGTTTTCAAAAATTAAAAAGCGCTTTAATTATTATTTAATTCAAATTTCAAACCAAAAATAATTAAGAGTTTTGTATTTATTTTTTTCTAACAAATAATTATATAAAATAATAATAATCATAAAAGATCCCAAGATTTTCTTTTCTTTTAATTTGATATTATTTGCTATGATTTAATATGATTTTTTTTTTCTTTTTTGATATCAGGACAGTTGTATTACACTCAAAAAATCTTAAAATGTTAATTCAAAAACTAAAAACATGATCATAAAACAGGTGTATTTAAATCACTGTATGTATAAATTGCATTTTTATAGTTTTTTTTTTAACAATTTAATAGGACAATATATGAGCATCACATCATTGACTCACATTAGGCATTCACACAGAGAACTAAAAAGTCTCACCTTCCACAGGTTCATGTTGGAGGCAGTGTAGCAGCCCTGGGCGGTCGACTCTATGTGTCCGGTGGCTATGATGACACTTTTGAGCTATCTGATGTGGTGGAGGTCTACGACCCCTCTACTCGATCTTGGACCCCAGCTGGCCGGCTCCCCCAGCCCACCTTCTGGCATGGAAGTGTCAGCATATTCCGACAGTTCATGCCTCTTGTTCAAAGCACCTTCGAACCCATCGACATACCGGAGGCCAACGCCATCCACCTTCACAGACACCACCGCAACCAGGCACTTCACAACCACAACAACAATGTCAATCAGAACCACAACCAAGATGTCAATGAAGTGCACTGAGAACTTTTCGAAACATGAGACTGAAGGTTATTCAATGTGACGTTGCTACTAGGTGTTTTGCACTTTATGACATATTCCCCTCAACTGGGCAGCAAAGGGAGCTGGTGAATGGACAATCAATGTTTGCATTATTTCTCCCAGTAACCCAGTGTTAGTTACTACAGCTTTAATTGTTGCATGCATTTCTAATGCTGACTGTGTTTACCTTGAACAGAGACTGACTGATGAAATAGTGCCTATCATGTTTGGCGAATTTCAAGCAATCCATACCATGGAAATTGCATGAAGGTTATGATCATTTTTCTTTTTTAATTTATTCTATAATTCAGCATGGACCTCCTAAAGTGATCTGCAGCATTGCAACTTCAAGTCAACATCCACAAAAAATATAATATAATATAAATGCCATAACCTAATGTGAAGTAAAATTGCTTTTTAAAAAATATATCATTTTGAGACCCAATCATTCCAAAAGGTGAAAGTAGCGTGATTCGACAGGATTCTGCAATGTGGATAACAAATGTTATTTTATATACACAATGAAAAGTCTGAAATTAAATATTTAGGAGAATTAAAGATTTTCCAAAAACAACAATTTTATTTTGACAGATAAACATAACTGTGTCCCAGCATAACCCATTGTTTAATATTCATCTTGCTAGAATTACATATTTCAGACAATCTAGCGTGCATGCAGTAATCACATTTTTTGTGGATTTGTATCCGACTTGTTTTCAACTCATATTTTAATATGAAATTACGTTTATTATTATCTAGTCATGGTTTATTTTAAAGGAAGGTGTGTTACAGTTTATGAGAAACATCTTGTGTTTATTAAGCTGTCTGCGATCATGAAGACAACATGAGGAATGGATGAAGGTATTGTATTTTTATGTCAAATTGTATTCAGATGCTGTACTAATAACTGGAAGCAGTAATTCAGTATCTTGTTATTCTTGAGTAAATGTATGTGTTTGACGATACCAGTACTTATGAAACTAATTCATTATCTACCACACGCTAAAGCGGTACTTGATGTTTATTTTATTTTTCTTACAGAATGTTTAGTTTGTTTTGTAGCCAAAATCATTCGTACGATACAGACAAGGCGATGATTTGTGTAATGTTTGTTTGTGTGGTCAATCAATAAATAACTGCCAGGCCAGCACTGTTACTTTTTGCGCTTTTCTTGTGTATATGTAGTAAGATCACAATTACAAGGAGAGCTGTCCGACATACAGTTTTAAGGTTCAAATGTTCTGCGCAGCCCTTCAGATTTGTTAGATATATCAAATTTTCCATCGAGTTAGAATTATGACAATATTAGAGTGGTTTATTCCATTAAAACAAGAGTATACATGAAGCTCATGACTGTTTTCTTGTTTTATAATTGTCTTTAATAGTCTCTTACAAGAACTTTGGTTGAATGTTGTTGTATCCAATTTTGTCAAACATCTTGTAACTTCAAGTGCAAGTACAAATAAGAGAGGCATAGTGCATTCGTTTTTTCATTATAGAATAAAAAGCTTTTAAGTTGTCTGTTCATCCAAACAGCGAAAGAACATTTTCAATTAATAATTGTAGACACAGTCTTACTGAAAAACGTTGGTTAACCGCTAAACATTTTTGCAGAAGCTAGGTTCAAATGACTTTTACTGACTCCGGTAGACAATCTCCTATTGATCACAAAAATGTAGTTATGGAAATCTCAAGATGATCTTGCATCATCATGCTTGATACAACCAGGTCCACTGAAATGTCCAACTTCTTTGAAGATAATAAATTAATGCAAGAAAGCTATTTATTTACAATGTCTCTAGTTCACCCAAAACGGACAATTCTGTCATTAATCATGTCGATCTAAACCCGTAAGACCTTTGTTCATCTTTTTGTGTGCAAAGAAAACAAAAATAATAACAGACACATGCGCATTGCTTTCCTCTGCTTGTAAACAAGGTGAATTCTACGTTAGCAGCACCAGACGCATGCGTCGATAATGGCGGAGGACTGTCCCGGAAGAGAAGAAATCATTGAATAAAGTCATAAATTTTGTTTTATTTGCACACAAAATTAAGGTTGGACCATGGACTATTTTAACGATGTCCTTACTAACTTTCTGTGCCTTGATCGTGGTAGGATCCTTGCTGTCTATGGAGGGTTAGCAGTATTTGAAAAATAATGTGTTTTTTGAACATTAAAGCATGTCAACATATTCTGTTACACCAAATACACAAAATAATGATCTTTAAAAAAACATCATATGACCCCTTTAATTTGTGTTACGAAGATGAACGAAGGTCTTACGTGTTTGGATCGACATGAGGGTTAGGAAATAATGACAGAATTGTCGTTTTTGGATGAACTAACCCTTTAAACTGCATACTTTGTTGCTCTGGAGTCAAGAAGTCCCTTCATTTAGACTTTCCCATCAGCTGCAGAGCTGGGCAGTTCCACCACCACACTGGACTGATGGATGGGGTATGCATCGGTCACCAGCAGGGTCTGCTCCATCACATCTGCTACAGTGAACGGAGTCTGCTCCACTCCACCATCAGTCCTTCCAGTCTCAGTCTGTTCACCACTCACTGCTCCATCAGTCATTGAACATGTGGCCTGCTCTCCTCCTGTTCCTCCAGCAGAGGCTGAGATGACCTGTTCCACCACAACCACCTCTGGCTGGATAACTAGGTTAACCATGTCTGCTGGTTCAGCCTGAGCCTCTGCCTGGCTGGGAGGACTAGATGAAGCAGCTGCACTCTCGTCCTCCACTACCAGGTTACGTAAGCGTCTCTGTCTGGGGTTGTAGTTCTCCACACGGTTGTGGATCTGTGAGTGTCGTCGCAAATGTGCCTGTCAAAAGCAGGATAGAGATGCTGAGATCTTAGACATCAAGTAGGAAATGTAAAAGTTATTTTTCTGATATATGTTAATTTTCAAATAAAAAAAAATTCTATTTTTAATAATATGTAACATAATATTTTTTTCTTTTTGCCATCTATATAATTGTTCTCAAAACTGCCTCAAAAGTGTAATTGTCCAGATATCTTACCTTTAAAGGTTTTGTTGCAGATGTGGCAAAAGTGTGGTCGACCTTCTTGGTGTTTGCTGGCTATGTGGCGTAAGAGAGGGCCTTTCTCAGTAAAGCGCTGCTCACAAAACTCACAACTATATGGCCGTTCTCCTGTATGTGTGCGGTGGTGTTTGTCCAGACTCGCTGTTCAAACAATCAGCAAACATTTGGTTAGCAATTCAAAACTAATACAGAAACTGCATGGATTTGATTTTAAAAATGAACTAGAAATCAAAATAGCCCGAGCTAAATCACTCTGTCTGTGAAATTACCTTGTGTGCGAAATGTCTTGCCGCAGAGGTGGCACTGGAAAGGTTTCTCTCCAGTATGTGTTCGAAGGTGCATGTTGAGATTGGCTTTCTGGGTAAAAGCATGATTGCAGAACTCACACACAAAAGGACGCTCATTTCTGGAATGAAGCGCAACAGATACAGCTCAGCGAGAATCCAACCAGCAAACACAAACATGCAAAATGGATTACACATATAAACATCACAAAAAGGTTTCTTTCTTGTCCAGCTATTTATTGTCTTTTCACCACATGCATGCATAATTCCAGAATTCGCTAACAACCTCGACTTTGAATAGCGGGCAAAAATAATTAGCAATCAGTCTAAACAATAAATAAAGCATGTTTCAGTTCTTTGTTGTTCATGTCATGTGTTTACCTGTGAATGGCTTTGATGTGCATTTGCAGGCCGTTGCGGCTGGAGGCCCGATGGCCGCAGAGAATCCAACCAGCAAACACAAACATGCAAAATGGATTACACATATAAACATCACAAAAAGGTTTCTTTCTTGTCCAGCTATTTATTGTCTTTTCACCACATGCATGCATAATTCCAGAATTCGCTAACAACCTCGACTTTGAATAGCGGGCAAAAATAATTAGCAATCAGTCTAAACAATAAATAAAGCATGTTTCAGTTCTTTGTTGTTCATGTCATGTGTTTACCTGTGAATGGCTTTGATGTGCATTTGCAGGCCGTTGCGGCTGGAGGCCCGATGCCCGCACTCCTCACACACAAACAGTTTCTCACCACGATGTTTGGCTGCCTCGTGTAGACGTAGCTCAGTGCGGGACAGGAAACACTTGGGACACAACGGACACTAGACAAGACATGTGACAGATAATACATCAGTAATCAGAAAAAACTCTGATTTTGTTCAGTTTTCAATAGCAGGGCATTATGATATTGCCAACCAAGTTATTAGCATTAGAGTCACTTACAGCGTGTGGTTTGGGAGCTCCGTGAACTTTAATCATGTGGATCCTGAGGTCTTTCTTCTGCATGAACTGCTCAGGGCATGACGTGCACTAACATGACAAGTAAAATTACATCGATTCGGCACAATGTCTGTTGATAAAAGGTCATATCTGACCTCTACAATGGATGACGTACCTTATTGGGCATCTCTCCTGTGTGTGTGACCGTGTGAAGACGCAGCTCATGTCGCTTTTTAAAGGTCATGGTACATTTTGAACACGAAAACACCTGGCACAAACCCAAAGTTGCATTAAGTAAGTATTAGTAATATAAAAGCTGCATTTGTGCATCAGTAACTACCAAAAATGATGCATTATTATTTTATTGTATTTATGCATATTGTTAACTGTCCTCCACTTTCAAACTCACCACTTCTGCTCTGATAAGACAATTCCTGGCTTCATGCTCCAGCAGGTTTTCCTTCCTATAGTAGCACTTCCCACATTTAGCACATTCAAAGGGCTTCTCTCCTGTATGTCTCCTTGCAGACAGCAAGACGGAAGCAAAGACGGAACTTCACATTAAGGCATGATGAGCCATATTACTTATAAAAATTACAAAAAAAAATATGAAATAGCTATTTAAAAAACACCAGCCTCTATATATAACAATAATGTTATATACAGTATGTAATTACAATATTATTAATTATATATAAACAATCAAACATTAGGTAGGGGTCAGTAACTTTTTTTAATGAAATTAATACTTTTATTCAGCAAGGACACATTAAAATTAATCAAATGTGTCATTTTATAATGAGACATTTATAATGTAACAAAGCATTCTATTCAAATAAATGCTGTTCTTTTGAACATTCTACTCACAAATGAATCACCATTTCCAAGTTATTAAGCAGCACAACTGTTTTCATCACTGATAACAGTTGTGCTGCTTAATAACTTGGAATTTAATAATAAATAAATGTTTAATAATTTATTTAATAATTTAATAATAATAAATGTTTCTTGGGCAGCAAATCAGAATATTAGAATGAAGACTGGAGTAATGGCTGCTGAAAATGCAGCATTGCATCACAGGAATAAATGACATTTTATTAAAATAGAAAACAGTTATTTTAAATTGCAATATTATTTCACAATTTTATTGTATTTATCATCAAACTGTCAGACTCTGTTCCATGTTTCGTGTGTGTCCTGCTCCCCATGTGCCTTCCCATGCCCTTATTTGGTTTGTTTCCTGTTCCTCCCCTGATTAATTAAGTTGATTTCTTCCCAGGTGTTTCCCTTGATGTGTCATGGCTCCCAGGTGTGTCTCGTCATCCCCTCCTCCTGTGTGTGTGTATATAAAGTGTTCCCAGTCCCTAGTTCTCTGTCCGATGTTGAAGGTCTTCGTGTGAACGTCTTCCTGTGTTCGTCTCCCTTGGTGCAAATAAAGTCTTGGTAAAGCATTCTCCAGCGTCTCCTCGTCCCTCGTGTGTGTGCACCGTGACACAAACAAGCACAGCCTTGGTGAGCATAAGAAAAGTTTCCAAAAAAATCGAACTAACCTCAAACATTTGAATAGTGGTGTGTACATATGTATACTTATTAGATATTAAAACATACATATGTATATTATATATATATGCCTAACAAAGAGGAACATACCTGTTGTGCACTTTCAGGTAGTACTTGCTGAGGAATGTTTTATGGCATGTTGGACATTGGACAGAGCCTTTCTTTCTGTCTTTAGATGTTTCTTCCCCATTCTCTTTATTGGTACGTTTTTCATGTCGTTTGCGCTTTCCCCGTGGAGTCTTTGAGGTCGAGCAAGGTGAATCATGAGGCACATACTCTTCATCAGTTCCTTCAATAAGAATATCCATACTGTCACCTCTGTCACTGTCATCGTCATCATCATCATCATCGTCATTGTCGACATCATTGTCATTTTGGTTATCAACAGATCCATCCACCTGCAACAGAGAATTAACAGTAACAGATTACAAGTAAAATCAAGAATTTGGATTTGGTATTAAGTGAAATTAGGTCAAAAATTGGACACGATACATTATTATAGCAACTTTTATAATCAATGCATTCAATTGTCAGATCAACGCATAGATGATCAAGTTTCAATTATTTGAATTGAATAAATGTCTTCTGGTTGAGTATGGATGTACTGAGCACCTCAGTCTCACTCATGTCTTGATGTTTGAGGTGATCTCCGTACTCAGTGGCAGAAGTCTCCTGCTCTTTGTCTTCTAGAGATGATGGTTTTCTTCTTCCTGCTCCCTGCCTCATCACAGTAGACATAGGACTTTCCCCGACTAGTCGATTGGGCCCTTTTACATGCCTTCCAGAACGTGTGGTGGTAGTAGACGTCGAGGCAGGAGGGTCATCATCGCTAGCTGTGACCTCTGAACCCACCCTGCATGCATCAGACTTATTTTTCGTCCTCTGCCAAGATCTAGTCTTTCCTTTCGGGGTGTGATCAGGCTGAGCGTCTGCAGATGTGAGAGGGAACAGTGGTTTGTCTTTATCATCTTCACTCGAGACAGGTGACTGTAAATTCTCTACACCTGGCAAACTCTGGCAAGGTATGAGAGAATCCGGCACTGATAGTCCGCTAGCTGCATTCTGAATCTTCTCTAAATTGCTGTCGTCTAACTGGAGTTCACCAGTGTAAAAAAAGTTAAGCAGTAGCTCTAGTCCATCATCAGGGCACTCTAATGGCAGCTCGATCTTTATACATGGCATGTTTGAACTGGGGTCTTGGAACAAGTGGCTGAAGCAGGCAAGAACACTGCGATGGGCCAGATGCACTTGTCCACTCGCTGTGCTCAACATGGCATCACAGAAGTGGCCAAGACCCCTCTGTTGGTTGAGCAAGGACAGCACCCGCTGAGCGTGAGAGGTCCCTTCAGCAAGTATCTCCATCTGGACAAGCAGGAGACATCGGTTTCATTTTAATAGTCATTTTATCTGAATGAAATTACAGATAAAGACAACATAACATACAACATAAATGTATAAATTAATAAATGTATTCATTTAAATGATAAATATTCTATTTAAAGTAATATAAATATAAATGTTTAATAAAAAATGTCAATTTTTACTAATTCACGGATATTTATAATAATCAAAAAAGCTCAAGCTAATTATTAATAAATGTAAATAATTTTTTCAAATCATGAAAAACTGCAATTAATGTACTACAAGCACAGTTGCTTGTTGCAATAGCTCGCTTATTTTGGTTTAGTTTGTTTTATGAACAGTTCACCAAAAATTATTTAATTAAATATTACAATTATAAATATTATATATTTAAATTATAAATAGTAAATTATTTATATAAATGTCTCATTTACATTTTTTATATTTTTACAAATAGTGTTAATGGGCATTTATAATAATAATAAAAAAAATGTCATTCTTATAATTATAATTAATTTGTGTAAAATAAAAAATGTGGTAAGTGGTCTGGTTTTATTATTACACTCTCATTACTAATAAATGTTTTATGCAACTTTAAATAATTTTAGAAAATCATGAAATATCGCAATTATTGCACAAGCATGGGTGTTTATAGCAATAGTTTGCTTATTTTGGCGTAGTTCCGTTTATTTTAAAAAGTACACCGAATAATTCTGCACGTTTTCATTTAAATTAAATATTAAAATTATAAACATAAATACTTAGTTTAAATTTTAAACTACTTTTAAAAAATTTAATCATGGATATTTATGATAAGAAAACATGTTCATGCTCAGAATTATAATACATTTGTGTAAAATACAATAATAACGTGTGTCTGTTTTGGTTTTATTATTATATAATCATTATTTATAAATGTTTTATTAAGACACAATGTTTGTAGAGATCGCACAACTTTGAGCAATTCTTGAAAATCCTAAAATACTGCAATTATTGTACTACAAGCATAGTTGGTTACCGTAAGCTCTTATTTTGGCGCAGTTCATTTTATAAAACAGTACACAGTATAATTCTGCACGTTTTCATCCACCCATGCTCAAGAATGTTTTCCCATACTAAGCGGATAACTTTGACTAGTTAACAACTATTTGATTCATTAATATTACCTTAACGTTAACCACAATGTCCGCATTTTAATGACGCTCCCTAAACTACACGCCGCACAATCAAGCGTTTATGACTCACCTTTAGCGTAAATTAGATCACTGCTCTCATCTTTTTTTCATATACTGAAAGCCCACATATATGCGTTATGTAACTTACTAAGTACAATATATAACGTATAGCACCAAATGCTTAATTTGAGCTTTACATCAAGAAGCCATGTTGAAACAGAAACAGGAAGTGACGTTGAAATATTGTTGGAAGTCTCCGAAGCTGGCCATTCAACCCATTACGCTGTAAATGAATTTCTTCAAATATGAACTGATTGAATAGTTTAGTTCATACAATCAAACTGCACACCAATTCTTCAAATTTATAACATTTTTGAAAGTTATGGTAAATTATTTTATAGCGAAGTATTTATTCAGGATAGTAGTATAGAATTAAAACTCTTTCTAACTCCGTGACATTTGTTATTGGCCATCACATGGCACAACCGCTAACTGTGAGCGCTCAGCGCTGCACATAATTGCTTCTGTTAACCAGAGAGTGCTACATTTAATATGTTTACGCCTCATCTTTGTCTCTACTATATTTATCCTTTCAAACACATTCATCAAACGGTGACAGTGCGGTCTTAAAGCAGATCAAAAGGGGGAAATGAGCAGCTTCGGCTCGATAAGTGGAGTGGAACCACAACAGCATCGTGCAGCGTGATTTGACACGAAGCCACTGCCAGTTACATAGAAACAACGGCATATTCACAGAAACTCTATTTATACGTGTTCCACGTTTGATTTGATTCAAATCTGTTTTGTTACCAGTTACAGCGGCTTCTCACTTTAAACAGGTAACGTTACATGAACTAACGGCATCGCTGCAGTTATGTTTAACAACTAACAGCTGTGAAAGTATCAAATCACAACAAATTATACTCTTACTAGAGATTAGTAATAATGTGTGTGGTACGATAATATTGCATCATATTATACCAACGGAATAAGGTAAGCCAACAGGTAGTACTATTAATAACAGGTAGGGATTAAGCTATTATGTTAACTTGACAAAGCCAACAACCTAATGATATTCTGTTTAAGCTTTTCGTTATTCTATCTGTCCATCCACTTTTAAAATCCTTTTTGGTGACTCCAGCTGTGCTTATGTTGTCGTTACTCGATTGTCTTCATTCACAGGTGTCTCCCTGCCCTGGATTTATGACGTTTTTAGTCTTGTTGGAGTTCATTGGATGACAATGAAAGTCCACAAGGTTTCTCCTCAGTCGCAAAACTCCACAAAACGCCATGGCAAGAATAAATGGCGAAAAAGGATACACAGACGGGACACATCGCTCCTAAATACAAGTCGTGGGACTGCAAAGTTGGCACAACAGATAACCAAAAGGGAGAAACCTGCATTAAAACAGTTGAAGAAGTTGTATACGAAGCCTATCCCTGAAGACAGTTGTCCTGAGGAGAGAAGGGAAAAGGCCACTTCTGTGACTTTTGCTCATGTCCATACAAATGGAGGCACAGAACTGGATGACAGCAGCAGTTCAGTGGACTCTCAAGAATGGAGTGAATATGCCAATAGTGTTCTTAAGAATGGCATGGAGAGTTCAACCTCACCTAAAACAGACCAGATGGAGGAGGACGGTCTTCAATTCCATGCCCACTTTGATCATACCCACAACCGTGCTGTTTTAGTCATGAAACAAGGCCAGGTAGACTGATAATCTCAGCTATACGCTTTTAAACACGATGTGTGTGTGTATGTATAATGGTATTCATAATATTGTGAATATTAGCATTACAAACTTTAAAACAGTCAAATGTTGATCAGTTAATCATATTGATTTCCCATCACTAGTTTCTGCAAGAAGACTGAGTTTTGTGTCTGATGTTTGTGCAGGTCTTGTGTTTCCGTGGGAAGTGCCTGCTCACTTGCCTCTATGGTCACGTAGAGGTGCTGGGCTTCACCATCGAGGAGGGCCAACAGCCTTACCCCCTGTTCTCACCACCGTCTCACTGCCCTCTCACCATCACGGCCTTAGGAAACAACCCCCCCTCCGGCAAGAACAAGAAAGAGGGGCTACTGGAAGCAAAAGCCATTGTTCGCAAATATTTCTCTTCAGGTAGCATCAGGAGTGTCCTGCCTCCTTATTACATTTATATTATTTTTATGTAGTTTTCTCACCCTCATATCTTCCATTAAGGAAAGACATTGCAGGTGAATGGGGTAAAAGTAGTAGTAGATATCATCATCATATATACCTAGTTTATTGATTACATTAATAATTACAACATTTTTTGTATTACAAGTTTGCTGAAATGTCATGTTTATATATATATACATTTATACATATGCATTTATGCACTTTGCATACATTTCCAGAACAGAAATCTGAACATTGGGTAAAGCCAGGTTCAAAATTCTTGTTTCGTTTTGTTGTTGTTTTTTGTGTTGTTTTTTTATCAGTCCATGAATCAGGAAATGCTGTCAACAGCCAGAAAAAAACACTGTGTTTTTAGGAATAAAATTTGTATACACATTATATATGAATAAACCCCTCTGTAAAATCGTCAAAATATAGATAGGAATAAAACTGGAAAGTTTAGTGTATGTAATTGCTACTGAAGTGTCTGGCTCAATACATGAGAGAAAACTCAATTTGGGAGAATGGCTTTTAAAAGAATAGTTCACCCAAAATGAAAATTTGCTGAAAATGTACTCACTTTCAGGTCATCCGAGATGTAGATAAGTTTCTTTCTTCATCAGGACAGATTTGGAGAAATTTATCATAACATCACTTGCTCACCAATGGTTCCTCTACAGTGTACGGGTGCCGTCAGAATGAGAGTTTAAACAGCTGATGAAAACAACATAATAATCCACTAGTAATCTAAATGACTCCAGTCCATCAGTTAACATCTTGTGAAGTGAAAAGCTGCGTTTGCAATAAACCCATCATTTAGATGTTCTTAACTTCAAACCATTGCTTCCAGCTAAAAAAAAACAAGTCCTCTACTCATAATATTGCTTCCTCCAGTAAGAATTTTTTCATTTACATTTTTTTTTTTATTGATTTTATTTTACTAGTGGTTTATTGTGAAGTTTTTATCAGCTGTTTGAACTCTCATTCTGACGGCACCCATTCACTGCAGAGGATCTATTGGTGGGTGAGCTGTGATGTTATGGTAAATTTCTCTAAATCTGTTCTGATGAAGAAACAAACTCATCTACATCTGAGATGGCCTGAGGGTAAAGTGCCATAAAATAAACACACAAACATGTATTTTAGATACACGAAAACCCAAATAGCTCAAAATTGACCAGTTTTTGTATTTAGTGTTTTGCCTTAAATTAATTTCTACCTGCACTAAAGTTCTTTTTTTGCACTTGCTTTCTAACGTTCTGTTGCAATTTGTGTTTTTATGTCTAGAGCCAAGTAAAAAGCTCATGAGTGAGGTGGATTCTGACTCCTGCGTGGTGCTTCTGGAGCCTCTGGACACGCCGCTCACCCGCTTCCTCACCAGCTTTTCAGAGCTCTCAGAGATCTTTGGCCTCAACTCTGTAAGTTGGTGACCTTTCAGATTTTGTACGTTCATGTTTGAAATACCTACCTGATATGTATATTGTTTGTGATGTTAAAATACATTCCCAGTTTAATATGCACATGCAAACTTTAAGTAAACCATTTGTAGAAAGAATGTAAACACTGTGACTCTGTGGTGCTTGTGACATTATTTGTTTGAGCATCCTGGCATAGCAACATAGATATATTTGTGTCTGTGTTTATGCATCTTGCAGAAGGAGCTGAAGTCTCAGGCTGCCGTCTATAGCCCTGTTCTGTCAGCTGTGGGTGTAACAGCTCTGCGTGGACCTTGTGCACAGGGTCTGGTGCTGTCACGTAGCTACAGAGAAGCTATAAGCAGTTTGCTCAGTGCCTGGGCAGGTAACTAGTTGGACTAATTCTATAATTAAAAAGTTGATATAAACTGTATAAATGATTGTATAATGTAATTAAAGAAAAAAAAAATTGCCCACAGGGGAATTTGTCCGCTGTCCCATAATTCTTGCGTGTGGGGGGAAGTCCTCTGGCAAATCCACCTTCAATCGACACCTTATTAACAGCCTGCTCAATCAGTGAGTTCAACTAGTTCATTTGATCAGTTTAGTAATAATAGGATAAATTGAGAGTAATCTTGTGTTTTTGTAAAGTTATTTAAACTGGTATCTGTCCTCTCTACCTTGTTGTGTGTGTGTGTGTGTAGCACTGCAAGTGTAGAGTATTTGGAGTGTGATCTAGGCCAGACTGAGTTCACCCCTCCCGGATGTCTTTCCTTGAACACAGTTACAGAGCCACTGCTGGGTATGTGTCATACTCTCCATCTCCATATAGCCACAGGAAGTAAATTTTTCTTCACCAGTATCATTTAAAAAGATTCTGTCAATTCAGAAGTGTCTTACATTTAGCATATGTTCTTTGTTATATACCCCCAAAAATGGACATGTTTGTGATTGTGTTGTTCTTTTTTAGGGCCTCCTTTCACACACCTGCGTGACCCAGAGCACATGGTGTATTATGGTCAGGCAGATTGTCAGGCTGACATCGATCGGTATCTGGAGTCTCTCAAATCCCTCTGGCGCCATGTCAGTGGAGAAAGTCCTGTCATCATCAATACTATGGGCTGGATCAGAGGTCAGCAATAAAAATATTGCACGTGAAATAGGAATATTGATTTGAACGGTATATCGACTCATTAATGGATCTTGTATATTTATTCAAATATTAGGACTGTCAATCAATATAATAGCTTGATATACTGATTAAGCTGGGTCAGAAGTATTTTTTGTTTTCTAAAATTGGTAGCCCTGTTAAGAATATTTAATATTTATTATTTTGTTTTTAATAGATATAATAATAGTTTTCGTTAGAGTTTCTGGTACTGACTTATCTCGTCTTTCTCTCTTTCACAGGCCATGGCTTTCAGATACTGGTCGACCTCATTCGCCTGTTTTCTGTTACTCATGTGGTACAGCTGAGTTTTGGAAACGCACCACAGTGTCAGCTTCTTACCCCAGACTTCTTCAGAACTGCCCACGGCTGGCAGACACACCCTCCAACGCCGCCCACCTTGACAGAGGAGCCAGCCAGCCACCCCTCCATTCGATCTCATGTATTTCTTAGTGTCCAATCAGAATTTGAAGGTGCTGGGACATC